TGAATCCCAGACCAGGCAGCTTGAAAATCAAGCCAGGCATGTGTGCATATGTGCCTAAAACCCCAAGAGAAGAGATGGAGGAGAAGGGATTAAAGAGTGGTCATAACCCCTGTGAGGTGATTTCTCACCTTCCCTCCCTGTCTTCTCTCTGGTGAGCACATGTGCCTTATAGCAAATTTAAAATTAATTAATTAATTAAAAAGAAGCACATATGTGCCAGGAGAAAAATAATTTTAGAATATACGTCATCAGATTTTTTTTTTTTTTTAATTTGCTACAGGGATCACCGGAGAGAGAAAGACAGCAAGAGAGAGGGAAAGTAAGAAAACATCTATCTCCCAGGGTGATGGGTGATGGTCACGCAACAATCCGTTCTCATTCTCTTAAGATTTTAGGCATGCATGCACACACATGCCCAGCATTTTTCTCAAATGGCCAGGTCCAGTCAGTGCAGTCAGCCATGTGGGATCCAGCCACTTAAATCACCACATCACTGGCTGGCTCAATTTGCAGATAAATTTTAAGGTAAATTTTTAGATATGCACACAAACATTGGAGTAGAAGGACAGAACTCAAAGACAATGTGAATTTGTTTTTTATAAAAGAATTCATTTAATTTTACTTATCATTTAAAAAAATTTGCTACAGAGCATGTGCATTTAAAATTTGCTACAGAGAGAGAGAGAGAGAGAGAGAGAGAGAGGGAAAGTGAGAAAGCAAGGTGCTAGGTCTGGGACTTGAACCAAGGTTGACCATGTGGGGAGTCCAGTGCTTCAACCAGCATGCCACCTGCTGACTCCAAGGTAAAAGACACCAGAGAAAAGGCAGATTTCTTTCTTTCTTTCTTTTTTTGGAGAGGTTTTTGTTATAGGGCATGTGCGCTTGCAAGAATGACAGAGACAGAAAGTAAGAAATCACCCTCTGGGGGGATGGCCATGCCACAATCCCTTCTTCTCCATTCTCCTCTCAGGATCTTGGGCATGCATGCACACGTGCCTGGCATGAGTTTAAGCCACTGGGTCCGGGACTCGAACTGAGGTAGACTACATGGGAGTCCAGTGACACAGTCATTATGCCAACTGCTGGTCCCCCAAAAAGACAGATTTCTAGTGAAATCATGAAAAGCAGCCTCACAGAGGACTTTTTAAAAAATTTTGATTTATTCATTCATTTATTTTAATTTGACCAGGCGAGACAGAGAGTGAGTGAATGTGTGTGTGTGTGTGTGTGTGTGTGTGTGTGTGTGTGTGAGAGAGAGAGAGAGAGAGAGAGAGAGAGAGGAAGCGAGAAAGCAAGCCACCAGATTCAGGACTTGAACCATGGTCTGCCATGTGCGTGTGTCCAGAGCCTTAACCACCATGATACCTGCTGGTCCCCAGGACTTTTTAATCAGTATAAAAACACAGATAACTATGGAAAAATGTCTTTGATAATAATAGTCAACCTATACTTTTCTTTCTTTCTTTTTCAATTAAAAAAAATTATTTTATTTAATTTTATATATCATCCTTATTATTTTAATTTGAACAGAGAGAAAGTGAGAAAGCAAGTCTCCAGATTCAGGACTCAAACCATGGTCAGCCATGTGGGAATTCAGTGCCTTAACCACCTTGTCACCTGCCAGCCCCTCTTTTTAAATTTTGACAGAGGACATGTGTACTTGTTGGAGAAAGACAAGAGAGAAAGTGAGAAAGCACTACGCCCTATGGAGAACAGTCACACTGTAATCCCTTCTCATCCATTTCTCCCTCCTTTTGGGATATTGGCCATGTAGAATTTAGCTGACTTAATCACCAGGCCATGGGTAGGCCTGTCAGCCTGTAATTTTATACATAGATAAATCTGTCATTCGAAATTAAAGTTTTTTGTTTTGTTTTGTTTTTTACTTTTTGTTATAGAGTATGTGTGCTCATGAGAGAGAGAGAAAGCGAAAAGTCCCCCGTTGCGGGGACAGCCATGCCACAACCTTTTCTCCTCCAGTTTTACTTCTTTTTTTTTTTTTTTAAGAATTATTTTATTTAATTTCATTCATTATCATTACTTTTTTGACTTGCCTAGAGAGAGAAAGAGAAAAGTGAGAAAGCAAGCTGCCAGGTCTGAGACTTGAACTGTAGTCAGCCATGTGGGAGTCCAGCTTCCTTAACCACCACACCACCTGCTGACGCCAGAAATTTTTTTAAGAATTGTTTTATTTTACTTTATCTATCTACTTATTTACTTATTTTAATTTGACCAGACTAAGGAGGGAGGGAGGGAGAGAGAGAGAGAGAGATAGAGAGAGAGAGAGAGAAAGTGAGAAAGCAAGCAAGCAAGCCACCAGGTCCAGGACACGAGCCATGGTCAGCCATGTGGGAGTTCAACGTCCTTAAGCACCACGCCACCTGCAGGCCCCAGGGTGAAATTTTTAGATACACATTTTTCCCCCAGATATACAATTTAGATACAAAAAGTGTATTAGTTTTCTAGAAGTTCCATAACAAAATACCACAAATTGTGTGGCTAAAAACAGCACAAATTTATTGTAAGGGTGATGTGGAGCAACTCAAGTCTGATAATTGCCTGACCTTTCTGCTCTGATACAGAGAACTTGTGAGTGGCCTTGAAGTGCCCAGGGCTGATAGCTGCCTAGGTTTTCTGGTCCCCTGAGCTGTTTCGAGGCCTTGATTCCCTGCTTCTCTGCCAGCTCTGTGTTAGGGCAGACACTGAGGCCCTTCCTGATAGGACACTCTAAGCATGCTAAAACTGCCCCTCCCCAACTCACCTATAAAAGACTGTGCTTAACTCCCAAGGTGGAGGGGCTGCCTGAGATTAAGAGTGTTAACTCCTCAGTGCCCTGCTAATGGAAAAATAGAGTTCTCCTTTTTTTCTCTCTCTGGATTGCTGCTTTTTCATCCTTTGGCGTTTGTTTTTCCACAAAGTCAGAATCCAAGTTCCCTTTGAAACCCATAGGGGAAGGACTTCCTTCCTCTTCCAACCCCACATGTTCCTTGGCTTGCGGCAACATAACTCCAGTTTTCACGTGGCTTTCTCCCTATGTCTCTTCACATAGTCTTTCTGTGTGCGTCTCTCTCCAAAATTCTCTTTTTTATAAGGACAGCGGTCATATTGGATTAGGGCCTTTGCTAATGATTTAGCTCATTTACTCTATCTCTATAAAGATCCTGTTTCCAAACAGGGTCACATCCTGAGGTATTAGGAATTTGACACATCCTTTTTGGAAGATACAATTCATCCCATGACACAAAAACTAAGAGAATTTACTTCTCAGAGATTTTTACTAAAACAAAACAAACAAAAACCTACCAAAGGATTTCCTTCATTAAAAAGGAAATTAAACTGGGACCAGCAGTTAGTGTAATGGCTATGTCGCTTGATTCCCATGTAGTTGACCGCGGTTCGCATCCTGGACCCGGTGGCTTAAACTCACGTGTGTGTGCGTGCCCAAGATCCCAAGAGGAGAATGGAGGAGAAGGGATTGAGGTGTGGCCATCCCCCCTGAGGGGTGATTTCTTGCTTTCTGTCTCTCTGTCTGGTGAGTGCATGCGCCCTATAGCAAAAACCTCTCCAAAAAAAAAGGAAATTAAACTAAGGAAGGAGTGGTATACAAACAGAAATACTGACCAAAAAAAGGGAAGAATACTCCTGCTTAAGATTACACTGCTCTTTTTTTTTTTTTTTGGAGAGGTTTTTGCTACGGGGCACGTGTGCTCACTAGAAAGACAGAGACAGAGAGATAGAAAGCGAGAAATCACCCCCCACGGAGTATGGCCATGCCACAATCCCTTCTCCTCCATTCTCCTTCTTGGGCACGCACACACGTGCCAGGCATGAGTTTAAGCTGCCAGGTCCAGGACTTGAACCACGGTCCACCAACATAGCCATTACGCTAACTGCTGGTCCCAAGATTACACTGCTCTTAAGCAGGATAGTCAGTACTTGAACTCGAGTTATCTGACAACTTAGTCCATTCTCTTACCTTTTACAGTCCATACTTCTCTATCAGGATGATTTCAAAAACCTCATGAGGTTGGGCTAGGAGCTGGTACAGCAGTAACACAACTGGATCCACCTGGAAAAAGTTCTAGGTTTGTCTTCCAGAATTTACCAGAGGCCGCTGGGCTCGCACATACCCCTGTCTACAAGCCAGGCCAGCTGAATCTCAGGGTAGATCACAGCACAGGGACTCTGTTGTGGGTGTTTCTCTCTCTGTCATGGAAGAAATAAATAAACTTAAAAAAAAATTCATGAGGTACAAGAATATATCAGATATCTTCTTCGAATTTCAATTTATTCAGTCACTATTTGTTGATCATCTATAATAAAGTTCCAAGAAGGTTACAGAGAAGCCGAAGTCATGGATTAGGCTTTTTTTTTTTTTTTTCCTTCTCTCTCAAATGAGAGAGGGATAATTTCTTTTGAAGAATTTATTCACATTTAATATTTATTTTTTATTCCTTTCCTGAGAGGCACTGTGGTAGGCGTTCTGGATGTAGGTTGAGGAGACCTATTATTATTATTTTTTTTTTTTGGAGAGAGTTTTCACTGTAGGGCGCGTGCGCTCGCCCGACAGACAGAGAGAGACAGAAAGCGAGAAATCACCCCCCAGGGGGGATGGTCACGCCGCAATCCCTTCTCCTCCATTCTCCTCTCGGGATCTTGGGCATGCACGCACACGCGCCCGGCGTGAGTTTTAAGCCACCGGGTCCGGGACACGAACCGCGGTCGACTACGTGGGAGTCCAGCGACATAGCCATTACACTAACTGCTGGTTCCCAGGAGACCTATTATTCTGTAGTTCTTGACTTCAAGGAACTTATAGTCTAATAAAAAAACAATGTGAGGAAAAAAGGCACTATGTGCAAGCCAGACCTGATGGGTCACATGCGTAGGACGACTGCATAGGAATTACTAATATTTCAAGGATCGCCTACCTAGGATCGGAAGCCCAGTTTGAGCGGTTCTTATCACGCGCCGGCGCAGAATGAAGGCAGACGCTCGCCTCCTAAGGCGCGCCCTTCCCCCACCCTTTCTCTGGCCTTATCTACTGCGCAGACGCATAGAGAGTATCAAGATGGCGGCCCCCGTGGATCTGGAGTTGAAGAAGGTAAAAAAAAAAAGTCTTGAGCAGACCGAGGCTTGCCTTTGGAAGCTAAGGGGACTGTGGACTGGGCTATAGAGTAAAGTCCGAGTCTCACGTAAGGAAAGAGGCTCCAGAGAACTGGGAATGATTTCCTAGAGTCCTAAGATGGGCCCGAATCTCCGGCTGGTGCGGGGGGCGAGCGACTCTTGCTGGGTGGGATCCGGTTGGGCTGGGTCTAGTAAGTCTGCGGGCTGTCGCCGGCCTTCCCCCTCGTGGTGAGTTCCAAATTCATTTCGTTGGGTTTGGAGCCTTCAGGGATTCCGTTTCATGGGACTGAAGAGAGCGTTTCAAATTGAAGCCCTTTTGGACCTATTGCTTGAGGTATACCATCTGCAATTCTGCCTCTTCATTTGCTTTGAAAAACTCTTTTAAGTCCAACCTTTGTTTTTAGACCATTTGTTCGGACCCATTCCCAGAAAGTTTTCAGTATTTGCAGTTCAGAAAAAGTCAGTATTGCTTTTAACATTGTTTTGTTTCAGGGCTTTGCCCACCCCTCCACTGCACCCCGCCACCCCCCTTTTAAAGGTCTTGTCCAAGGGAAAAAAAAAGTCTAGTAGTTTTCCTAATAAAATCAGTATCAGAAGGAATTGGATTTCTCTCTTTCTTGAAACAATTGGTTATTAATGGGTTGTACTCAGAATTGTTTGCCACTTGGGTGGTCAGGGTTCTAACACCAGTACCAGCTTAAAAGGATGTTTTTTCAGGTATGTCGTTGTGACAGATTTGAAAAGACCCTATAATTCATTTATTAATAGTTTAAATTTACTTTTCTAGAATAGGAAACAGTTAAGAAAAGTCAGTAAAAAATTGGGACTAGAATCCACTATTACTATTCTCTGTCTCATCTCACTTATTTTTGTAGTTTAGGCTCATCAGATGAGCAACATCTTAAGACCAGGCATTAGACAACCTTTTCGTAAAAAGTAGAGGACCCCTGAAACAGCTGCTTCTCTCAATAAATGAAGTTGTTTGTTATTGCTCTGAGGATCTTATGTGTTTGATTTTTTTCTTTTGCCATTCTTGTCCTGAAACTTAAAAAATTAGCCCTTACATGGTGTCTCTAATGCCGTAATTTATAGCTGAAGAGCAAACTGTGTACAGGGTAATCAGATAATACCTGGAATTTTACATTTCAAAACAAAATTGCCTATTTAAAAATTTTATTTTTATTTCTGTTAAAAGTTCAAACTTATGGCTCAGCAGGTGGCATGGTGGTTAAGGTGCTGGATACTCCCACATGTGGCTAACTACGGTTCGGATCTTGGATCTGGTGGCTCTCTTTCTCACTTTTCTTCTCTGTGTGTGTGTGTCTGTCTCTGGTCAAATGAAAATGATTGAATGAATAAATAAAATTAAATAAGTAATTCTTTAAAAACAAAAAAGTTCAAATTTGAGTCAAGGTTTAAGTCAATTTAAGTCAAGAGCTAATTAGAGTACAACTTTGAATGGACTTACATCCCAGTATTACCTGAAATTTGATGCTGGGAAACATGGACAATGAATACAAACCAAGAAAATGATTACAGACTTAAATTGAGTAGTCTTGACAATTAAATAAGAAACAAACTTGTTTAAAGGACTTATTTTCTAGGGCGGGCCCTTGAACCTAGTGGTTAAGGGAGTCAGATGTCACATGGCTATTTGCTTCAAATCCTAGCCTGGCAGCTTGAAAGACATGCTGAGCTAGGTCCAGCAGGTGGGGTGGTGGTTAAAGTGCTGGACTCCCACACATCCGACTGATGTTTAAGTCCCTGATGGCTTGAAAATTATGCTGGTGTGCTTGTGAGCGTGCTCAAAATTTCAGGAGAGTGGAGAAGAAGGGATCGTAGCATGGCTATTCCCCTCTACCCCCAACTTCTCACTTTCCCTCTCATTGTCCCTCTCTCTTTCTCTCTTCTATAGAGTGTATTCACTCTATGGCAAAAGTTTAAAAAAAAAAAAAAAAGGCATGGTAGGCATGTGTATGCATGCCCAGGGCCAGCAGGTGGTGTGGTGGTTAAGGTGCTGGACTCTCACATGGCTGACCTAGTTTGAGTCATGAACCTGGCCGCTTGCTTTCTCACTTTCCCTGTCTCTCTCTCTGATCCCATTAAGAAATAAAAAATAATAACAAATAAAATTACATTTAAAAAAATCCTGATGTGATGGAGAAGAAAGGATTGCAGCAAGATTATGCCTTATTGAGGGGTACTTTTTCTCTCTGTATGTCTTTGGTGAGCAAGTGTTCACCCTCTGGCAATTAATATATATTTTTTTTTGATAAAGTTTTTATTAGGTCTCTCTCTCTCTCTCTCTCTCTCTCTCTTTAAAAACCCTGCTAGTAGGTGAGAACAAAGTCAGAATACAAGCTGTGTTCTAGCCTTCTCTGTGTATTGCCTTCACAAATGTTAATATTAAAGCATAAATTTGTCAGCATGCAAAGTCACTCTAAGCACTTCAACAAGAGTATCCAGGACCTTTGTTTATCTTCAAGTTAAGTAAGTGTACACAGGAGTCAAATTTGGTTTGAAATGTGCGGAGGATCATGGTGCAATTCTTATGCTAAGGCTTTACTTTTTTCTCTTTTTTTTGTTTCTTTGGTCTTTCTTTTAAAAAGTATTTATATTTTTAATATTACTGTTGACAGAATGGATTCTTTTTTTTTTTTTCTTTTTAAAGAATTATTTATTTAGAGACCAGCATTTGGCATAATGGCTATGTAGGCGCTGGATCCCTATGTAGTCGACTGCGTTTTGAGTCCCAGACCCTGTGACTTAAACTCACGCTGGGCGAGTATGCGTGCATGCCCAAAATCCCAAGAGGAGAATGTTTGTGGTGGGGGCCTCCTGGGGTGGGGGGGGGGGGGGGGGGGCTTCCTTGCTTTCTGTCTCTCTGTCTCTCTCTGTCTTTCTGGCAAGCGCACGCTCCCTATACCAAAAACCTCTCCAAAGAAAAAATGAATTATTTAATTTTATTTATTTATTCATTTATTTTAACTTGACCAGAGAGAGAGGGAGAGTGAGAAAGCAAGCTACCAGATCCAAGACTCGAACTGTGCCTTGTGGGAGTGTCCAGCACCTTAACCACCACGCCACCTGCTGGTCCCCGAAAAGATTCCTGAACTAAGAGTCAGAAAAACTGGATTGAAGTACTTACTTTTCTTTCTAATAGTTGTTCAACTATGTGCTAGCCACTCTTAATCCCATTTATATAGTTAACGTAATTTGTATATTGTGGATGATGAAGCCGCCAGATTTTTTTTTTTTTCATTATATTTTTTTGTTGTTAGAGGGCATGAGAGAAGGAAGGTGAGAAAGCACCCTCCATGCGGAATGGTCATACACAATCCCTACTCCATTTTTTCTTTTGAAATTTTGGGCATACATTCACTCACACGTGTTAAGGTTTTATGGTCCACTGGGTCTGGGACTCAGTCTGGCTGCTTTAATTAACCACCAGGCCATAGAGTGGGTCAAATATGGTTATTATTTAATATGCATTTGTTTTGCTTTTTTAAGTTGATAGCATCTTCTGAGAATAAGGTAAAATGCTTGTTTTTAGCATAATAACTTGGTCTTTTATAATTTGACTTTTATTGATGCGTGCTTTGTTAAATTTCACATTTTTTCCCTCTGATTAACAATAATTTTTAATAATGTTAGCAATAATGTTTTAATAGATTTTGATTTAGCTTAAAGGTTTTCTGAAAATGTTTTATTTACTAAATCAAGGACTTGTTTTTAATTAGGCTTTCACAGAGCTTCAAGCCAAAGTTATTGACACTCAACAGAAGGTGAAGCTTGCAGACATACAGATTGAACAGCTAAACAGAACGAAGAAACATGCACATCTTACAGATACAGAGATTATGACTTTGGTAGATGAGACTAATATGTATGAAGGTGTAGGAAGAATGTAAGTAAAATATATCCTTAATGGGGTTACCTTGGGAGAGCTTTTGTTTGAATTAAATCATAGAACTTTGTTCATTTTAAAAGTTGGGTTAAAGCATTTTGGGATTAACTTCAAAGATCATCTTTTTTAAAAATGAGGAACCGAACCCCAGTTAGGTATGTGTTTAATTTTAAACTTTGAAGTACGTATGTTAAATATTTCCCTGTTCTTCTGTGATTAGTTACTTAATTGTCACTTCAGTGATAAAAATATGATTCGTTGGGTGGGCCCTTAACACAGTGGTCAAGGGAGCTGGATCCCACATTGCTGACCGTGGTTTGAGTCCCCACCTCAGCAGCTTAAAAAACATGTTGGGTATGTGGGTGGGGGTGGGGGCCCCAAACCCCAACAGGATGGAAAAGTGGAGAAGAGAGTGTGGGTGATCACAACCCTCTGGGAAGTGCTTTCTCTCTCTCTCTGTCTCTGTTTTTGGAGCACATGTGCCCTCTGACATTTAAAATACATTTGTCATGTGAAGATGTTTATAGTCATTGTGTATGTAAAGATTTATTTAAATCATGGCAGTTTTAACTATTTTTCCCTATGTAATTTATTAGGAGTTATACAAATCATAAATTTTTTAGATGTATGATCAGTTGTAAAATAAAAATAGTCATTTAATTATACTCATTCTAAGTATTAGGCATTGTTCTCATAGGACAACTCATGTAAGAAATCTAGTAAGCCAACTTACCTTTTGTTCTAATTAGTACGTAATAACCATGTACATTCACTGTTTCTTTTTAAAAATATTAGCCTTATGAGAGAGAATAAGTATGCTTCGTGGTCCGTAAGCAGAAAGTAAGGAATGGAAAAGCCTTTAAGTACAGGTCACATTCCATTACAGTGAGCTAAAGGGAGAAAGTTTTCTTTTCTTTTTTCTTTTTTTTTTTTTAAATGGGGGAGGTACAGGAGAAGGGTTTTCCTGGAATTTTGTCATTGAATATTACTTAGTACAAGGACCATTACTTAAAGTTCAGAGATCTTTTAGTTAGAATGGAATTTGACCTCTGTCTTGGATGATTTGTTTTGCGATTGATTTGAAGAAAGTGTAACAAGTGTAAAATTTAGTCATGGCTTTGGAATGACATCATGAGAAGTAGACCCTGCTTATTACTAACTAATCCATATCTTTCTGTGTAAGATATAGATGATGGTAAATTTCATCTGATGTGCTTTCTCAGAATGAACAGTATACCATTCTATTTGATATAATTATATAAAATAAATTTCATCTTTGAGTTCATCTTTTTCAGTTTAACTTGTTTTTAGAGGGTAAGATGCCTATCAGTGGTATAGTGGTTAAGGTAGCAGGATCCCGTGTGACTGACTGTGCAGTTGAGTCCTGGACTTGGTGGCTTGATGTGTGTGTGTCTGAAATTCCAAAAGGAGGGAGAAATGGAGGAGAAGGGGTCATAGTGTTACTATGCCCCATGACAGAAGACTTTCTTACTTTCTCTCTCTCTGTCTCCTGTGAGCACCACATGCCCTCTGGCTTGTTTGTTTTTTTTTTTTTTTTTTTTTTATTTCATTTGCTGCAGGGTGGTAGACAGGGTGGTTGGTGAAGGAATGAGAAAGCATCCCGCAGGAGGAGAGCCATGGTGCTTTCCCTTCTCTGTTTTCCTCTTGGGATTTTGGGTATGCACACACGGGTCCAGGACTCGAAATCCATGGGATCCACCTGTTTTTTTTTTTTTTTTTTTTTGGAGGGGTTTTTCGCTATAGGGCGGGTGTGCTTGCCAGACAGACAGAGACAGAGAGATAGAAAGCGAGAAATCACCCCCCAGAGGGGATGGTCATGCCGCAA